GTACTACAACATGCTACATTGTGTTGTACTGTAACATGCTACTTGTGTTGTACTGTGGCATGTTACTTGTGCTGTACTGTAACATGCTACATTGTGTTGTACTGCAACGTGCTACTTGTGTTGTACTACAACATGCTACATTGTGTTGTACTACAACATGCTACATTGTGTTGTACTACAACATGCTACATTGTGTTGCACTGCAACATGCTACATTGTGTTGTACTTTAACATGCTACATTGTGTTGTACTGTGGCATGTTACTTGTGTTGTACTGTGGCATGTTACTTGTGCTGTACTGTAACATGCTACATTGTGTTGTACTGCAACGTGCTACTTGTGTTGTACTACAACATGCTACATTGTGTTGTACTACAACATGCTACATTGTGTTGTACTACAACATGCTACATTGTGTTGCACTGCAACATGCTACATTGTGTTGTACTTTAACATGCTACATTGTGTTGTACTGTGGCATGTTACTTGTGTTGTACTACAACATGCTACATTGTGTTGTACTGTGGCATGTTACTTGTGCTGTACTGTGGCATGCTACATTGTGTTGTTGAATAAAGTAAGAATAGGGACAGGAATCATGTTCTTGTGATAGAAGAATAAAGTGACACTAGGTCCTGTGTATCATGTCGACATTAGGTGAGAATATTTGGGCACAGTTTGGGAAGCAAATGCTTCGTAAATGAACTACCTTCTGTCAGAAAGGTGAGAGATGAGATTGTACGACATACATTCATGTTTACGAGACCCAGTGGTATTTTAAGTTGATCTGTTTTGATTTATTATGCTCTTGCAGTACTGGTAACACATTCATTTCCCCTATTGTATAACAGAAAGGAAACTTTCCGAACAAACGTTAACTGTGTTCTTACTCACATAAACAGTTTATATTTGGGGAAGGCTACACGTAAAGGGACCCAAGGTCGATTAAGATAAGAAAACTTTATTGTTACGTACGGACTGTAAAAGTCTGTCCATTAAAGCCTTTAGAATTGAAATTATTTATAGGTCTCATAAAGGCACAACGTTGTCGAACGCACTTGGATGCAACATAGAGCACAATATTTTACGTTCGCTTCATCGAGCGCCTTTCATAATTCCTCACAGCGAAACAGCGATCGAGGTCTGTTTCTTACTGCCTCACATAAGCTCTGACCAAGCTTCCAGTGGAGGTTCATGAGTCATGAGTAACATTTGGACATAATACTATATGGTGAGGGCAACGCGAGTAGAAAACAGTATTTTTGTGTTTGCATATTAAGAAAGGGAATGTATGACAGCTCAATTACTTTCCAAAATAATGGCAATTATTTTATTTCTTTTATAATAAACGTGCTTCTAAATATCAAGTGCGTATTACGACCAACTGGTCCCTTTAAATTAAAACATGTATTTGTCTCCAGCATCCTTGTCTATATAAAAAAATACAGTTTGTCGTACAGAAAGCTCCTCTTCAATAAACATTTAAAATAAACACAATATTTATACAAGATACTTGCGGTTTTTGACAATGATACATGTATGTGATGCGAAAGAGTTTGTTTCATAATTATTTCAAAGTTATCTATGTATATCTCAAACGATAAAGTCACGATTCGTTAAAAAGTAACATTAAATAAGTATCTGCTTGAATGAGAAACGTTTAAGTTTAGCGATTACTATACTGATGAGTCCAGGTTCTTGACGTCAGCTTGACAATGAAAAGATAAAACATGATAATATGTTTGTCCTTTTAAGTGCATAGTCCTATTAAATGCATCAATTTTATAGACACTGTCAGCACACATTTTCTCTCTTAAATAGATTTCTCAAATTCTAATCATACCATTCTTTGACAAGGCACTACATCGTCAATTTTAAAGATATTCAGTTCATTTTTTTATTTTGGATGGATGACATTGTAGATTATTAATCCACTCTAACTCAATACCGACCACGTTGTCCCTTTACCGATAGCCTTCCCCCAAGTATTCTGCATCAGATAATGTAAATATGAAATATGTTTATGTAGTTCACGCATGACGAGCAACATAGATTTATATACATATACATATATATACATACAAGCTGTACGTTGACTTCAGTCATTATGTATAAACGTCATGAGACTTTCATGACGATTATACATAATGACTGAAGTCAACGTACAGCTTAAATGTGGACAACCGGGCTATAATCTGTCGTACAAATCCGAAATATGACTTGTGTCCTTTGAATTTATTTTTATATTGAAAGCTGCATTTCAAAACACAAACGGTTATTAATACTGAGTTTTATTGCCAGTTTAAATACGTAGATAAGTGTTTAATAGCAATTATGCCATGTCAGTAATCTTACAAACACCGAAAAACGCAAAACTTTAGACGTAATAACCATGTTGTAACTATATACCAATAAGTGTTGAAGTGTTAAAGATTGTCACTATCATAACTTCCAAACCATGTTTTTGTGTGTGTGTGTGTGTGTGTGTGTGTGTGTGTGTGTGTGTGTGTGTGTGTGTGTTTGTGTTTGTGTGTGTGTGTGTGTGTGTGTGTGTGTGTGTGTGTGTGTGTGTGTGTGTGTGTGTGTGTGTGTGTGTGTGTGTGTGTGTGTGTGTGTGTGTACGCGCTGCGTGCCTGCCAATATACCTGGATCCATCCCTGAACAGGATTTACTTATGAACAACTTGATAAAAGTAAAAGTTTTTGTAAATAAGTAAGTCATGAGGTTTTAGTGGGTAAGCGAGTTCAAATTTCACAGTGCAGTGTTTCAGCCATTTCGTGGTGAGACATAATTAAAACATTAACAACAAACATATTTAGACAGTATACAATCCTTTTATCGAAGGACAGTATAATAACTAGCTGATCACAGATTTTGTTTGATACTACTTTGAGAGCATTAAGCCACCATACTAGGAATTATGACGTTTTAAGAAACACCTTCACAAAAAATATTGAATAATTTTGGGGACGCCGGGATATTGACTAAAAGCGCTAAGCTAACGTGCGCGTACCAACAGCAGAACCAGTTAAGAGCTTTCCACCTTTCAAAACTAAAGACTGCCTCTATTGTATAGTGGTGGAGCGTTACAAGATTACTACCCTGTCTGGCGCTCGGCATTAAAGAGCTAAAACAAGGACACAGAGTCAGTATACTGTGTCTGGGTGGGGGTGTTCATGTTAAATTGCGGCATGGTACAATGTATCTCAGTGGGCTGGCACTATAAATCGGCATCAGTCAGAACAAGTACCAGCAGCCACACACACACACACACACACACACACACGTGCATGCACGACACTATATGAGTGTAATAATCTTGGACGCGACGTTAAACCCCATTTCACCTCACCTCAAAACTAAAATTGGAAAGATGTATTGTCAAGTGTTACCTTGACCCATGAGGAAAGCGTTAGTGTCAAACAAATTAACACACATCCGTTCGAATTTGATTCTAGACTGCTCAATAAGTGAACAATACTAGGAGTCACGTGACTAACGTCAACCCCCATCCTGCCGACGATACTACTGCTGTATACACATGACGTTGTCTTCTGCATTTTGCCAAACCTGTAGTGTCATGATGCATGATGCATATGTTAGATCTATTCCATCGGATAACGTAAAAATGGTGGTGTGTCTGGCAACAAAACCTTGTAGTTAGCCTGGATCTGTTCAATTAGGTTCAACTGGCGGTGTTCGTACCACAGTGTGACCATGAATTGCGGCAAGGTTGTCTGTTTACTTCGGTGGTGTTTGCGTTTCTCAAAGTTACACCTTATTCTCAGATGGTTTGAAATGATCATTCCGAGCTGTGAGGTATTCTCGCATTGTGACTTTGAAACTGCTTGTGGTTGTGGTTATAGGGTCCGATCCGCTGATGTCATTGTAACCCGCCTTATCCATCACCATAACGCTTTGGCTATCCAGCCTTGGAAGAGGTTCATGTTCAAACCATTCAAAGAATACCGTTCCATTCATTTCTCGGGGGTAATCGCACTCTGATTTCTTGGCCTCGAAGACAAGTTCACAGCCGACTATCAAACATTTCGCTCGAGTGCGAACGTACAGTGCAATGCGATGGCGGGTGACTGTTGGTCCATGATTTGTGTTTACCCACGTTTCATCAATGTACACTAATTGAAAACCTCAATTCGTGAACATTATGGATGGAATAACTGTCCCTAAACGTTGTCCTAACGCCACCACGCTTGGTGTATTTGCACCCCAATTCAAGGCAAGTCCAAGTGTAGTATTGGAGATATTGATATAATCAATCTTTCGTGTCAGTCTGAATCGTTGTACAAGTTGGCGCTTTGTGACGGTTCCTACATTTTTCATTTTTTTGACACGGCTTTACATCTGTTTATATGGCAAACCAAGTTCATTGTGAGTTTTCTTATATAATCTGACATAACTAACTTCTTCGTCCTTTTCTTGACAAAATAGTTGTGTACATTTCGTACAGTTGAAACGTGTACAGAGTGTGTAATGATTTCCCTTATGGGAAACGTGTTACACAAATATACAAAACATCGTACAAAAGACTCATGTTGTATGAGTGAGTACGTATAATTTTACACCGCTTTCAGCAATATTCCAGCAATATGACGACAGAGGGCACGAGAAATGGACTTTACGCCGGCCTATATGGTGAATATAACCCGAGCCTTCAGCATGGTGAGCTGCCTCACCGCCCTTTATGTTGTATGATACATCATTGAACTGTGGCGTGGTGTCCATGTTATTTTGTTTATTATCGCTACATTGTAATTGCATTTTTTATTTTGACAAAGTATCGGAGTCGTTAATAACTGTCGTGGGCCATGGTCACTTTAGTACTCCAACAGATGGATCTTTACTCATGTTATTAACGTCTAGTCTTCCTTGACCTGACTCATTTGTAATATAGGGCGTCCTGAAATAGCTTGAATATTACCGACTGTGGTAAAAAACAATGCCCGCTCGCTCATTCTGGTACAGAGAAACAACACAGTATGTTTATCATTTAAGTGATTTATTGAGAATGCCTTCCATCTCTTGAAAAAGTACCCATGTTTCTGTAACAAAAAACACATTGTATTAGATGCCGTTGAAAGAAGTTTGACTTCAATTTACAAATGAAGCACGAATCTGATTATAAAAGCATTCAAACAATCAAAAAATTTCTTGCAAACCGTTGGACATAAATCTGAAGGTAACTACTATGATGAATTTTGGCTAGATATAAATCCACAATTATTAACTAAAAGAATAAGAAAGGTAACAGAACCCCTGCTTCGACCAAGAACCTATCTATGTGTATGGGTTTAGTGCAGCGCGACACTTTCGTTATGCTCTTTGAAAGAACCGACATGGGGTTGTGGGGCTATTGGGCGTTATCTTATGACGAAACAGTTACGTCGCGTTGTTGAATGTGGGCACAGCTGCATGGCATGAAAGTAATCATACTGTGTGGTCGTGAGGTTGTAGAAACTTACTTTAGAAATCCATCGGAACATTTGAAAAATGCCATAGATAAAATACAAAGCTGCTTTGTGCCTGTAATTTATTAATTTTTTCATTGATCTTAAGTTGCAGGCAACAGACATCTGATGGGAGTAACATATGAATTTGATGTCGATTGCTGAACATATTTACTTACATTTAGTGAAGCTTATGCTCATTATAGGAAACGACACACGGATGTTAGGTTATCTTGTGACTAAACACTACCGCGCGCCTCAATGCATGCGGGCACAGCTGCAGAGTATGAGAGTAATCATACTGGGCGGTCGTGAGGTTGTAGAAACACTTCAGAAACCAAAAAAGGTCATAGACAAAATGCAAAGCTGACTTTGCGCCTGTAATTTCCATATTTTCTCTTAAGGTGCAGGAAACAGACATCTGATGGGAGATAACATATGAAGTTTATGTTGATTGCTAAACAAGGTATGCAGTGTAAGAGTTATCCGATCATTTAACAATATTACTATGGTCATTATTATCATCGATTAATGAGAACCATATTAATGCTGCCTGATAATTGTGGTTATACTCCTACCTAATTCTGAATTTCGTGAGGGATGAAAGTGAAGTCTATCTTGAAACCTTCTCCATTTACGGATCCATCACTTGTGAAGACGAACTGGAAATGACCATCAGTACCTAGAACAGGATAAATACCTTTTAGAAACGGCGAATGGTGGAATCGGTGTTATAGAAAGAAGAATTGCAAACAACATGCACTGGTATGAAAAGAGAACAGTACACACGCGCGAATCACAGACCCTCCATCTGAACAACACATGGCAGTTGATCTAACTTCCTCAGGTACTGGACAGGGAAATAGTGTGTGGAGAGTATGTTGAACCCAATCGTTAAACACATGCCACGTGTGGAAATAAGTTCCGCTCGTATGTGTGCTACTCACTGTACGTCTTCTCTTGGATGTTTGTTCCACACAGCTTGTCTCCTTCCATCTCAACAGCGTCGTATCTGCAGCTTCTGCCTGACTCAACGTCAAACAATGGGAAGGTGAAGACTAGGTCACCAGGAGTGGGGGTGTTGATGGTGTAGGTGCAGTACATGTTGCTCTCGTAACCACCAGGCTGTGACTCAAAGGTTCCGGATGTGGCGTTTATAGTTGCATTGCAGTAGACTGAAACAGGTGCGATTCATCAATGATAAAAGGCAGTAAGAGGAAAATAATAATATTCATTTGCAATCGAGAAACTTACGAGAAAAAAATACAAATGTTGATAAGTGATAATGCACACTTAAAACTGAGATAATGAACATGAAACTGAGATAATGGATATGTGGAACTGAGATAATGGACATGCATTTACGTACCAAGTTCAGTGACATAATTGAAGGCGAAACCGCTGCGCACAACACTTCCGTCACTGGTAAATGCCATGTCAACTGTTGGCCCAGTGTCTACAAAACAGCAACACATATCGGTAATACAGGTCAAAGAGTGTCCAAAATACTGTTTTTACTCGTCACTTTCTTAATCTCTCAAAATGCTCGCTACTACAAAACGTAAGTATGGTAGAACAGTTAAAGATATACAAAGTTCATGTGAATCATGTGAACTGCAGGTTGAGCGTAAATAAATCTTTGCCGTCAAAGCTGTTATTAAACATTATTATCGATGCTATTGCAGTCACCAAAACAGCACCCTGGGGAAGCTTTTGTGGGTGTTTATAACCATGGGAGTTTTGCGTTCTCGATTAATTAAAAAGTATATCAAGACTATCTCACATTGTCGGATAAAGGACTCCTTTGCTCCACACAACTTCTCGGTGGCGTCATCACTTGTTATTGTTAAACTGTCATAGTCGCAACCCGAATCGTCCTCGATGTCAAAACGTGTAAAGTTGACAGTGGTGATGTGAGGGGTGGGAGGAGACCGGAGAGTGATCTCACAGTGTTGGTTGTTTCTGTAATGATCCTCGGAATCAGTGGCCAAGGTATAGGTGCCCTCAAGATCTTCACTATCGAAGTTGCAGTCTGGAATTTCAGTACAAGTTGATATACTTTTGTAGACCAGACAATCCAGTGATTGATATCATGAGCTTCGATCTACGCAATTGGGATACGATAACATGCACCAACCAAGTCAGCGAGCCTGACCACCCGATCCCAATCAGGCACCTCCTATGAGAAGCACAGTCGCCTCTTCATGGGCCAGTTGGTTTAAGCAACATATCACATATGATATTCTTGATATTCTTCTCTGTTTTTGTTTTTTTGTTTAATGTTTTACATCGCACTTAGCAATATTCCAGCTATATGACGGCGGTCTGTAAATAATCGACTGTAGACCAGACAATCCAGTGATTGTCATCATAAGCATTAATCTACGTAATTGGGATACGATAACATGCACCAACCAAGTCAGCTGGAATGGCCACCCGATCCCGCTGGGCACCTCGAACGACAAGCATAGTCGCCTCTTCACGGGCCCACGGGCCGGGCGGTCGGGTAGCAGCGTTCGCTCGTCACGCCGAAGACACGGGTTCGATTCCCGACATGGGTACAATGTGTGAAGCCAATTTCTGGTGTCCCCCGCCGTGATATTGCTAGAATAGTACTAAAAGCGGCGTAAAACCATACTCAATCACTCTTCACGGGCCATTTGGTATACGTAGCATATCACAAAAGACAAAGACCATATTACGAACACGCCTTGATACAAACTGGAATACTGTTTAAAGCAGTGTCTAACCCAACTCGCTCTCTAATGTAAATAGAAGTCCCTCGTAGTTTTCACTGATTGTCGACATGAACTTAACATTATAATTGGAGGTCCATTAATGTTTATAGGTGGGGTTATTGCTATGCTGGCAATGCTCTGAAATGTTAACATGTTTGGTGGAATGAATATGACCTCGGTAACACATTACATTGGTTTTTGTTTTGGCTGATCTATGAGTTAATAATTACTACATTCTTATTTCCTGAGATAAACCAATGATACGTATGTCAAAGTCGTATAAAGACGGTACCCTGCATGGCGTTCGGCATAGGGAGATGAAACAAGGACTGGTCGGCTCGGAGTCATTATACTGTGTCTAAGTGAGGTATCCATGTTAAACTTCGGTATTGTGTTTCAATGTAGATATGTATGTTCGTGGTTTACAGAGGAATATATTGATACTTACGCTCTTCAATAGTGAACAAAGCCACAAAGCCCTTTCCTGTAACACTGCTGTCACTTCTGAAGCGGATGATGGCTGATCCACCTTGTGCCGACACTGAAGGAAAGACATCATATACCCTCAGGGTTAATACAAATATCAAATTATATTTGTTTTCTCAGGCCAAGAATCTACATGGCATCATAAAACTTATTTTTAACTTTATGTCTTTTTTTGCAGTTATGTTACCTGTTGCTCTAATCTTTGTTTCAAAGTTTAACAGTTCACCAATACAAAAAGAAAATGTTTCGAATACTGCAGTTGTACATGGACTCTTACCTCTCGTTGCGTTGGGCAAATCGCTTCCACAGTATTTATCATCTCCAACCTGGACGTAGTCGTAGCGGCAGTCGCTCGAAGACTCTGTGTCGAGGGCGATGAAGTTGATGTCCAGATAAAAGGGGGTATTGCGAGTGAACTCGTACGAGCAGTCCATGTTGTTGGTGTAGTCACTGCCGGTACCCGGGAGACTTTGGATAACGCCCGCCGTGACGTTGGAGTTGATGTACAAACAGTCGCCATCACTCAAGGAAGGAACACCTCCTGATTGGCACAAATAGTAAATTTGGTTCCTGGTAAGAAACTTGATATTAATTCATGAACCGCACATATGTAATAGTGGTTTCACCTATACTCTCCAGCTTTGATGGTACATTAATAACGTTGTTCACGTCGTGTTGACTCGTCTGATTGGCAGAAAAGAAATTGTTATTGCCATTGTCATTTGATCAGTAGATTCCTTCATTGTATGTATCCTCTTTGAAAATATCTTTAAACAAAATCCCCATATTTCTAAATCCTACACTTGAACATTTGTAAGGGTTGGATCGGGAAGCTATATTGTTTTCTTTTCTTTTGGCAACTGAAGTAACATAGGTACCGGTGGATAGTCTCGGTTCTGCTGATAGGTACGTGTGTAGCCTGAAGATGCATTTGGCTTCAATGTCACAGAATGATATTAAGCATATCCGATGCCCCCGCGTAAATGTCGCGTTTAGAACCAATACCGATGAATTTGGCTTACTTGGCAGGATGGTGTAGGTGGCGCTGTACCCTGCTCCTGTCTGACTGGAGTCAGAAGAAAATGTCACTGTGACGTTACCTCCATCTGACGTGTCTGAAAAATCAACCTATTGCATTGAGTACAGCTGAGAATATAATTTAATAAGATATTTTGAAACGCCTTTCAAACTGCTTCGTACGTGTTCACCGCTCTTTTTACTTAACATATATTATTTCCTTATGTTAAAGATTTATAGGAATCAGTCATGCGTCAATGTTTCTTGTGTCGCAGGTTACCAACTCTGCATCTTTCGAGAGTTTCATTACAAAGGTGAAATACGCAAAGTTATGTTTGTGTCGCAGATGAGCCTGGCCCACCCACATAGCATTGTTGATGAAACACATGCAATCCCTGAAAGTTAACTATTTTCAGACTGATTTACAAATTCTATTGTTAGCTCCTTTTTATTGACTTCCGTCGTACTTTTGAGAGTGACAATTGTTAATCCGACTGATACGTAACTTGCATGCTGGACTAACGCTTTTCTAATTACACCGGGGAACCAGAAGTGAGATTTAAGATGTAACAAATGTGTGAGACTGACACTCCACTGTTCTGTTGTCCCATGTTGATCCGCATCCCTTCTGGCTGTTTCCCTCGCCCATATCAACCTCCAAGTAGTCGTATCTACAGGTGGATGAGCCCTCGAGGTCAAACGTTGTGAAGCTGAGGACCAAAGTGTATGGTACACTGGGGCCTGTGATGACAGTGACGCACTGCACGTTGTTGGCGTAGCTGCCATTGCCGGGGCTTGTCAGGGTGCCATCATCTGATGTCAGGACTTGGGTGCAGGTATCTGTCGTGATGGGACGTTAGAAAAGGAATTGTTGCATGTGTGAGTGAGTGCGTGAGGTTAAGAGTCGCTTTGAACAGTATTCCACTTATATCATGGTTGATGGATATAATATATGTAGAGCCATATTGGTAACTATTTATAGATCTATGGATTTACAACTCCGTGAACAGATACATTATGACTTAGTGTGTCCATGATCCGTTGTCCCTAAGAACATGGTTTCGCTGGCCGTCATTCCAGATGGAATACACACACAGATGGACCAATGCAGTCAGTGCCACTACAAGATATACTCACCAGTGTCAGGAGAAGATGTAGTTACAGGGAGGGTGGTGGTTTGTGTTGTCACTGTAAAGAAATGTTAAACATGGACAAGAGCAGAGATAAGAATTATCCTCACAAATAATTATTATATGAAAGTCTTTGTTAGGTGTTTAATCTAAATGTTAACATTTTGCATCAATGAAACAATTATGTATTGTATCCGGAACAATGCTTAATGGTTTTCTGTCTTGGAGGCAAAAAGAAAATCCAATAAAAAGTTGAAGCATGAGTCCTAAATCAGGAAAATATTCTCAATATGACAGTCAGATCACAAGACTGTTCAGAGAACTGAATCCCAATATGTATGACCATATTGCGGATCCTTATATGACATACTACCTGGTAACCCTATGACTCAGCCCTCAACGACTCAATAATAGTACCTGGTAGCGTTGGAAGCGTTGGCAGTGGGGATGTAGTTATGTTGTCCGCCGGAGTGAAGTTGAAGTCTATTCGAAAACCATCTTTAGTTACGGAACCATCGCTTGTGAAGAGGAACTGGAAATGGCCATCAGTACCTGTGAAAACGAACTTGCATTTAAATGACACAACAAAGGAAATCAGTATTTAAGAACCACAAACAGAAACCAAACAGTTCTTTTCCGAGAGACATATACTTATACACAGAGCAAAGCCAAGATTTATTATTTTGAACTCACGGAAAAATAGCGAGGATACGTGGGTGGGTGCGTATCAGTCAAGAGGGTGACATGTCACAAGTGATTCCAGAGATATGAGATAGGCAGGTGTCTGGTATATTTTGAAGATGTAAAGTATTGACTACAAATGGTACTGCGACAGGATAACTCGAAATGTTGATCCCTGAATTATTTCAGGCGCTGTTTGTAGATGGTCTTGTATGTAATGTGCAACATGGGACATGTCTTTCAACGCTTTTGGCCAAGTCAAGCTGACGCGTATCGTGGTTCTTATAGTGATAGGTGTGTAGAAAGCGGGAAACGGGGCAACCCCTTGTGAATGGTTTGGACGCGTGGACACAATGCATATTCACACATGCCACGTGTGGAAATAGAGGAAATTCCACTCGTATGTGTGCTACTCACTGTACGTCTTGTCTTGGATGTTTGTTCCACACAGCTTGTCTCCTGCCATCTCAACAGCGTCGTATCGGCAGCTACTGCCTGACTCAACGTCAAACAATGGGAAGGTGAAGACTAGGTCACCAGGAGTGGGGGTGTTGATTGTGTAGGTGCAATACATGTTGTTCTCGTAACCACCGGGAAGCGACTCAAATGTTCCGGACGGGGCGTTTATAGTTGCATTGCAGTAGACTGAAACAGGCGCAAATCAAGAATAGTTTCATCGAATATCATGAACTGATGAAGAGGTTAGTATGCTTGATCATGCGCATCAACAGGTGTAGAAGCACAGTGATTATTTATTTGAAACCTATTTTAGTCTACATTACGACAGGAAACTCAGATAATGCACACGTGAGCTGAGATCATGGGTATGTGATACTACGATAATGCACATTTGAAACTGAGATAATGGACACGTGAAACTAAGATAGTGGACACGTGAAACTGAGATAGTGGACACGTGAAACTGAGATAGTGAACACGTGAAACTGAGATAGTGGACACGTGAAACTGAGATAATGGACACGTGAAACTGAGAGAGTGGACACGTGAAACTGAGATAGTGGACACGTGAAACTGAGATAGTGAACACGTGAAACTGAGATAGTGGACACGTGAAACTGAGATAATGGACACGTGAAACTGAGAGAGTGGACACGTGAAACTGAGATAGTGGACACGTGAAACCGAGATAATGGACACGTGAAACTGAAATGATAGACACATGAAACTGAGATAATGAACATGAATGTACGTACCAATTTCAGTGACATAACTGAAGGAGAAACCGCTACGCACAACACTTCCGTCACTGGTAAACGTCATGTCAACAGGCCCAGTGTCTACAAAACATTAATACATATAGGTAATAGCAGGCAAACAGTCTCCAAAATACTGTTTTTATTCGTATGAATATGTAATCATCATAGTCTTTCTAAATGCTTACGAAAAAAGACCATCTAGATCATCATAGACTTGATATATATAACGCTCTTTTTACGAAACACATTAAATGTTAATCACAGGTTAAAAAAGTTTCTCATTACGTGTCTCATGGACTTTAAAACACTGGGGTTTCTCCAACAACAGACATCCCTGACTGACCGATGTTATCCGAAGGAGGGACATAGAACTACTCCACTCAATACATCAGCTGGAACCAGGTGTAAAACACACGTTGTATAAGATGAGCACACATTCGGTTTGCTATAGGGTTAACGTTAACATGAGAAAACAGTATTTTTCCAAACATCAGTGCTAATATAATCACAAAGTGATGTATTATTACCAATTGTTCATTACAACACCTCAAAGGCTTTTATTGGTGTTTGTTACCATGAGATTTTTGCGTTCTCGGTTAATTACTTCAAAAGCATAGCAAGACTATCTTACATTGTCGGATAAAGGACTCCTTTGCTCCACACAGTTTCTCGGCGCCGTCATCACTTGTTATTGTTAAACTGTCATAGTCGCAACCCGAATCGTCCTCGATGTCAAAACGTGTAAAGTTGACAGTGGTGATGTGTGGGGCGGGGGGAGAGCGGAGTGTGATGTCACAGTGTTGGTTGTTTTTGTAATGATCTTCAGAATCAGTGGCCAAGGTATAGGTGCCCTCAAGATCATCAATTTCGGAGTTGCAGTCTGGAATTTCAGAATAAAACGATAACTTACTGATGTATCTGAATCTCTTCGGGGTTTAATTAAAAATCTTGAATGAATACTACTCAAAGGTAATTATTCATGACTATCCTAGTTATAGTGCCACGTAATTGACTGAAGAAGTATGACATCGCACCTATAACTAAAATATATATCATGTTAAAAGTCAATAGACAACTAGCCGAAGTACTGGCTCGCGCAACAAAATCGGTTTATCTCTACCTAAAGGATCTCAGACAATAACTTCCTTATTGATTTACTAACATTTAATCAACACATTCTGATGCAGAACACACACATTCACGATTAGCAATTGGACGGTTGTAAATAACACTCGCCACGTTCTCAAATTAACGATCCACTTTGGAACATATTTGTGTGTTGATACACTTGGAATTGTGATCACAAAAGGTTGATAAAGGAAATATATTCATGCTATAAGAATCTACTAGAATCTAGAATCTACATTATAGTTACATGAATCCCATTGAACAACCCTAACTCTGTCCTTCTAAAAGTGTTATGTTCACGATGCACACAAATGTCGACCCTACCACCTTTACAACCCCAGCCCTGCCCCCTAGATGAGGTATGTTTATGATGAACACGAGTGTACCACCTTTACAACCCTAGCCCTGCCCCCTAGATGAGGTATGTTTATGATGAACACGAGTGTACCACCTTTACAACCCCAGCCCTGCCCCCTAGATGAGGTATGTTTATGATGAACACGAGTGTACCACCTTTACAACCCCAGCCCTGCCTCTTAGATGGGGTATGTTTATGAAGCACACGAGTGTACCACCTTTACAACCCCAGCCCTGCCCCCTAGATGAGGTATGTTTATGATGAACACGAGTGTACCACCTTTACAACCCCAGCCCTGCCCCCTAGATGAGGTATGTTTATGATGAACACGAGTGTACCACCTTTACAACCCCAGCCCTGCCTCTTAGATGAGGTATGTTTATGAAGCACACGAGTGTACCACCTTTACAACCCCAGCCCTGCCCCCTAGATGAGGTATGTTTATGAAGCACACGAGTGTACCACCTTTACAACCCCAGCCCTGCCCCCTAGATGAGGTATGTTTATGATGCACACGAGTGTACCACCTTTACAACCCCAGCACTGCCCCCTAGATGAGGTATGTTTATGATGCACACGAGTGTACCACCTTTGCAACCCCAGCCCTGCCTCCTAGATGGGGTATGTTTATGAAGCACACGAGTGTACCACCTTTACAACCCCAGCCCTGCCCCCTAGATGAGGTATGTTTATGATGAACACGAGTGTACCACCTTTACAACCCCAGCCCTGCCCCCTAGATGAGGTATGTTTATGATGCACACGCGTGTACCACCTTTACAACCCCAGCCCTGCCCCCTAGATGATGTATGTTTTTTTATGCACACGAGTGTACCACCTTTACAACCCCAGCCCTGCCTCCTAGCTGAAGTATGTTGATGATGCACACGAGTGTACCACCTTTACAACCCTAGCCCTGCCTCCTTCCCCCGAGAAAGAAATATGATTATGATGCACACGAGTGTACTTCGTTTACATTCTATCCCTGTCCTCATAAATGAGGTTTGTTTATGCACACCTGTGAACCATTTTTACATCCTGCTCTGCCTTCCTACTCGTATATGATATATGTTCGTGATGCACAGGTGACTCTGACATATAATCCGATCAACCGTAACTCTGCCTCCTTAATGTGGAAGTTAGATGCTATACACATGCAAAATATGTCATACTATCTGTTCAACTTTAGCCGCGCTCTTTTAGATCAGGTATATTTTTGCTGCATACCGTCTTAAGAACCTTAACTTCCTCGTAGGTTTGATATACTAGTATGCATGCTGAACACGTGCCTTTATTGATACTTACGCTCTTCAATAGTGAACAAAGCCACAAAGCCCTTTCCTGTTACACTGCTGTCACTTCTGAAGCGGATTATTGCTGATCCACCTTGTACCGACACTGAAGTAAAGACATCATATACCCTCAGGGTTAATACAAAATAAATACAAGTTATATTAGTTTCTGTCTTTTTGCAGTAGCGATAGCTGTTGTTCTTATCTTGGTTCCAAACGCCTGACACTTCACCAATACAAAAAGAAAATGTTTCGAATACTGACAATTGTTCATGGACACTTACCTCTCGTTGCGTTGGGCAAATCGCTTCCACAGTATTTATCATCCCCAACCTGGACGTAGTCGTAGCGGCAGTTGCTCGAAGACTCTGTGTCGAGGGCGATGAAGTTGATGTCCAGATAAAAGGGGGTATTGCGAGTGAACTCGTACGTGCAGTCCATGTTGTTGGTGTAGTCACTGCCGGTACCGGGGAGACTTTGGATAACTCCCGCCGAGACGTTGGTGTTGATGTACAAACAGTCGCCATCACTCAAGGAAGGAACACCTCCTGAAGGCACAAATAGTAAATGTGGTTCGTGGTAAGAAACTTGATATAAATTCATGAACCGCACATATGTAATAGTGGTTTCGCCTATACTCTCCAGCTTTGATGGCGCATGAATAACGTTGTTCACGTCGTGTTGACTCTGTTAGCTACAGGGTACGGTTTTCAATATGAATGACACTACATCTTCACAACACCTACATTATACAGCATGAATAATAAAGAGATAATTACATTCAGGTGTGTATGAAATTGATTTAACTCGGCACAGAATTCATGTCTTAATACAATTACAGACTTTGGAAAATATATTGTATTACAATGTTCTCAGTCTATATATATGTTATTTTAACAAGTACACTTATTATTGGACAAACTCTATTTAGTATTGTATGGAATGGGCTTAATAGTTAATACATTTGAAGTTTGGTGTAGGGGTAGAAGTTTTGAACCATTACAAGTGTTGCCTGTCGCTGACTTGTAAAGTTAATATATTAATGATTGCTTACTAGGTTGAATGGTGTAAGTTGCGATGTATCCCGTTCCTGTCTGACTGGAGTCAGAAGAGAACGTCAGTGTGACGTTACCGCCATCTGATGAGTCTGCAATCACCAATGGTGGTACTGGATTGACTACAAAGACCTGAACATACAATCATAACTAGAAGCCGTTTGTCGAAGTTTCAAGGTGATGCTGTGGAAGGTGGGAGTGGGTGGGAGCCATTTAGCATTTGGTCTCATGTTTGCACATACAGCTAAAAAAATGAATGCAAACTTTGACAATTTGAAAATAAAAAGAAATAAGTGTATCCCTGACACAGATAAGTTTTTAATCAACTTCTGTTTTTAGACTGGAATCCTGTGTGAGGAATCAGTCCTTCCAGGCAGGTTATGTGTGCTTGTGTTGAGCACATCGCCATGTTGCCCTTGGCATATTACAGGCTAGATGGAAGCACTCGATCAGATCACATTTAACTATACATGAGTGTTCCAGTTATATTTCTTTTGATGGATAAATCAATTTCAATTGATAATTTTCATTTTCATAAAGGCAAAAGAGGGGATTATTATATTAGCTCAACTTATCTCAGTTTGTGTCTTGCAGGGGCCATTGCACTGGATGCAGCACAGAACAAACAGCCATGTGTTTTCCAATTGCAGATGGATCTCTGATTTACACTATATTTAAACTACAAAGCCCTTTTTATACAGCTTCAAAACTTTTGTCTGATTATATTTTAAGCATATATCTGTACTAGAGGTGAGATGTAAGATGTATATATGACATTTATGTGAGACTGACACTCCACTGTTCTGTTGTCCCAGCTTGATCCACATCCCTTCTGGCTGTTTCCCTCGCCCATATCAACCTCCAGGTAGTCGTATCTACATGTAGATGAGTACTCGAGGTCAAATGTTGTGAAGCTGAGGACCAAAGTGTATGGTACACTGGGGCCTGTGATGACAGTGACACACTGCACGTTGTTGGCGTAGCTGCCGTTGCCTGGGCTTGTCAGGGCGCCATCATCTGATGTCAGGACCTGGGTGCAGGTATCTGTCGTGATGGGACGTTACAAAGGAATTGTTACATGTGTAGAATATCAATAACAATGCATACACTGTATGTATAAATATATATTGACAACTTACTTTAAATTAAATTACGGAAATACTCATCTGAATGGTCTGAAATTTCAACATGGGGATGGACGAAGGGTATACAATTCCCACATGTTTAATGTTCATACAGTGATGTCCTGAATTAATGAAAATAATCCCATACAATGTCCCTTGTTCTCAACTATCATGTGCATAATTTAATTTTCACTATCTTAAAGTGTACCTAATTTGACAACAACAAGTTGTACTCACTGTCCTCGGTGTCGGGGAGACTTGTAGCATTCACGGTTATACTCACTGTCCAACACACACAGGTGAAACACATATGAACAAAAATGACAAGTACATTCGATTGAAGAGCAACGTTTGATGAATATTTAGTAATCATACAATGTTGGCGTGACAGAAAACGACAATTACTTCACAGCATATTGTTTTGAGTTTTTCTTTTTCGGGCATAACTTCAATTTCACAAGAGCTACACTGATTAAGAAAGCCAAGTTCACAGTAACACCAAATAACTTGGTCAGGATGGATCTCATTATGCCATATATGGGAAATCCTTCTATTGGTATCTGGCATTATATTACAGAGTACACTTAGAGTACCTGGTAGCGTTGTTGCTTCTGTGAAATTAGTTGACATCGTTGCGTTGAAGGTAACGTCCACTGGATATGGTGTTGTCTCAACAGATTCAATCCTTCGAACTGCAACGTGGGACAAATAACATGTTAATACGTAATACGTAACAACATACGTATGATCTCGGTGTGTACGTATTTTCTATCTACATACGAATCCTTGATATACGTTATTGTCAACACTACATTATTGTCTTGGCTATATCCGTTCTGTGTTTGTTTGACACCATGATGCGAATCGAGCTCTATAATCATAACAAGTCTCCATCAATGATTCACCCTCCTCTGGTGGAGTGGGTCAGGTATTTACCTGGATTCATGGAATACGTGGCCTGGACACCCCGTCCTGTCACTGATCCATCGGAGTGGAAGCAAACATTGAAACGACCGTCGTGGAATTCAACTGGAGGTACAAAATCACAACATCATATGTAAGAAGAAGCCAACACAGACGTGCTGGATGCGCGACTTGGAAGCTATATTAAATTTTACATACAACCATTTTTTTAAAACTCTATATCACACACATATCAACGTATTCGTGCAACATGCAGAAGTATTCGTGGAGCAAACCCACAGAACGATCGTCCCTTCACTGGTGCTGCGCCTGCCTCACTTCTTAGCAAAGATGTGGAGTAGTCCAGGCGCTAGATCAGTGTGTGAAACATGGCTATGGAGATCAGGATAAAGGTATACATGTACAGCATCAGTCTACACCAGACCCGTGAAGATCCGGTGTAGACTAGGTCTTCATCAACCCATGCTTGCCATAAAAGGCGACTTTGCTTGTCGTAAGAGGCAACTAAAGCGATCCGCTGGTCAAGCTCGCTGACTTGGTTGAAGCATGTCATTGATCCCAATAGCGTGGATCGATGCTCATGAAGTCAATCACTGGAATGCCTGGTCGAGATTCGATTATTCACAGACCGACGTCAGACAGCTGGAATATTGCTCAGTGCGGCGTTAAACAACAAACAGTCTATACCACTCATCATATGAAGGGATACTGAAACATTTCATATTGTGATTACAACAGCTTATTGAACTGTGAATATATATGTAATCAACTTGTAATGAAGCTGCACATGTTGCAGTTCGTGGCAATATGAATGCTATTCGCATGTCAACATGTCCGAGTAATCAATTACATACAAGCCCTTCCTCTATACTTCCTCTCCCTGACAAACGTTGTGTAGCATGTATTAAACGACTGTATCATAAAACGGAATCGTGTTTTCCAGAAACTATTAAGCTTGTGGTGTCTTACACATGAAGCACGCACTTGGCTCTTTTCGTAAACTTCTGTAGTCAATCAGATAAAAAAAATAGCCGTCAACTCACACTCTCTCTGGGTCCCCGCATCTACAGTGCCACACTCCCTCAGTTTTTTGTTAATGCCATCAAACTCAATATAGTCAAACACGCAGCCGGTGGCCTCCTCGATGTCAAACACGTTGAAGACGAAGGTGATAACGCCCGACCCGGTGAAGCTTGGGTGAAGGGAGTAACAGTTGTCCTGGCTGTTTTCGTAGTTGCCATCAGCGTTGATACTGATGCTGCCATGGTTGCCATAGTAGCTAGTATTACCTGGACAAGAAACATTTATATTGTGAAATATCCATAATAGCTAAATACTTGCTCCCCAGCACATCCTGTTGAGTGAATAGACCTATTTAATCAACAGGTCACATTATCATGACGAAAACTCTCTCAACACACGTCACTGACTGATCAAGGTGTGATTTGTTGTTTTAAGGCCACACATCGATATATTCCAGCACTTTACATAATTGTGTCTTGGCCGGATTAAGATCGGATACAATTACATGCAATCACATGGCCTGATCACCCGATCCACTGACTCGCCTCGTACGACAAGCTTCGTATTTCAACAGGGAATCCCAAAAGGGGAATCTTTCATGTTGTGATGTCGTTGATGAACTGGACTTGCTTGATCATAACTTACCTGAAGTTGTGACTGGTTCTTGTGGATACTCAGGGTATGCTGTGGTATATTCAGGGTATGCTGTGATGTAGTCAGGGTATGCTGTGACGTAGTCAGGATAGGCTGTGGCGTAGTCAGGGTAGTCTGTGGCGTAGTCAGGGTAGGATGTGGTGTAGTCAGAGTAGTATATGGCATAGTCAGGGTAGGCTGTGGAATAGTCAGGGTAGGCTGTGGAATAGTCAGGGTAGGCTGTGGAATAGTCAGGGTAGGCTGTGGAATAGTAAGGGTAGGCTGTGGAATAGTAAGGGTAGGCTGTGGAATAGTAAGGGTAGGCTGTGGAATAGTAAGGGTAGGATGTGGTGTAGTCAGGGTAGGATGTGGTGTAGTCAGGGTAGGCTGTGGTGTAGGCAGGGTTGGATGTTGAGTCGACGTTCACTGCAATAAAGTGTGCAACTTGTTATGTTTTGTAAGTGAAGTATGGTTATAATTAACGTGAACAATTGATACAAATTGACGTATCAAACGTTCTGAATGAATAAAAATATAGACTTGTTCGAACTACAATAGTCGAATTGACCGCCTCCGTGGTCTAGCGGTAGAGCGTCCGCCTGGAGAGTGGAAGGTCCGGAGTTCGATCCCCGGCCGTGTCATACCAAAAGACGTTAAAAGATGGTACTTGTTGTTACCCGCTCGGCATTAAGGGGCTAAAACAAGGACTGGTCGGCTCGGAGTAAGTATACAGTGTCTGAGGGGGGTATTCATGTTAAACTGCCGCATGGTATCTCAGTGAGCTAGCACTATAAATCGGCATCAGTCCGGTCTAGTACAAGCAGCCACACACACGTGCATGCACGTCGCTATATAAGTGCAATAATCTTGGACGCGACGTTAAACCCCATTTCACCTCACCTCACCAATAGTCGAATTGATATTCATTCGCCTGGCTGAGGTCTGCAGCTGTATTTACAGTATAGCAAAAAGACAGTGTGTCGATTATTAGTTAGTCTACAACAGTGGACTATTCTACTCACCTGTGCCTATGCTGTAGGTTCCACTGACCCCTTGGCCGGTGACGGAGCCGTCGCTGCTGAAACACACTTCGAACTGACTGCCATTTACCACGACTGAAATACATAAAAATCTACTAAAAGTACAGGGACAGCATTGTGAGGTTTAACAATACATGTGAGATAGGAACAAGAAAACAGCAAACATCTGTTCACAGTGAATCACAAAGCAAATTGGGAATCTGGAATAGTTGTTCCTTTTGGCAGTAATCCTCTCAATGTCATTTATCAAATACCATACATATGTAAACCATATTGATGTTTTACGAACTGACCTTCGCTTTGTGTGAACCTTCACTTTGGAGTATGAACTTTCATAGAGTGAGGGCCAAACTGTATGAACGTCGGAAGTGAAGGTCAACTCTTATAATTTTTATCACAATTTCTTACCTCAAAGGATGTAGGCCAAGATCTAAACACAATTTTATTTAATACGTGTGACTTTATGTTTACACTTACAGTCATACAATATCCAGCTATATCGCGGAATAAAATTTTATTGTTCCTCAAAAAGAGAGGTGACATGAGCGTATGGATGCATAACTTACTCTTCAGATACATCTTACACAACACATGTGTTCAAATAATATTACCATTAGATGAGAAAGGTCTGTAAAGAACTACCTCAGTAAGTCAGTCACAATGACAGCGTGTCGCAATACATTTACATCAAGCACAAGACGTCAAAATGTCGGACACGATATACGTGACGGGAGAGATTTTCGAAGTTGTTGATGAACCTGTGGCGGTTACATGTGTTAGTCATCATTGATCAACTGGCCGATCATTGAAAGGTGATTAAAGATGCGTCAAACAGACACAGGTAAATTCACAGATTGCTGGAGACGGTCACTGCCAGCATAGACACGGATCGAGTCAATACTACGAGAGTTTGGATGTGCATTTCTTCGTTTGATCATTAGGATGGGCCGTAGCGAGAATATTCGTGAACAATCATGCAGTCAAGCTCTCTGACTTTTCTCAATGCATACTGAAACGCTGAGACCAACATTAAAGGCTCTAAATGATCCGAAAGAACGCTTATGTATGTTTTCGTGCTAAGGAATTCATACACTTATGAACGTCAATTTCGCGGTCATGTGACCGACCTCTCGTCCAATGGAAAAGCCGTATATCGTGTAAGCTTCAAATAAAACAAATCGCAAATAGATGTCTTACGTTAACCATATACACTTTCGTGTTTAACACATTGTATGTGCTTCATTGCCTACAGACCGACATCTGTACAATGTGGGATTCCTTTGAACTCCAACTGTGTTAATGGGATCATTAGAATGTGTGTGTGTGTGTGTGGGGGGGGGGGGGGTTCAATGTTTTGACTATTATGTCTACTATTATATCTGCACATATGGACATTATTGAACATAGTACTCACATGTCCTTGAGAAATCCGTCTTCTGTCCGCACTCCTTCACAGGCCCATCGTCCGTGTCGAAGGTGAGGGCATCATATCTACAACCAGAGCTACTTTCCACGTCAAATGAACTAAACTGGAATGTGATTGCCCATGTCCCCTGAACGTCAGGCACGATGTTCCAGCAGCAGTTCTCGTTGTTGCCGTACTCGCCGCCAATGTTGGTGGAAATTGGCCCGAAGTAGTCATACCTCGTTCCTCCATCACAACCTGTGGAAGGAACGTGTTTTAACCATACAAACTAATGATCGACAACTAACTAATACATGTTATCTGTATAATCTAGTTTAACAACGTGTTGCCATATTCCTGATAATTGTATACCAATGGTATGGTGTTTACTTAGCCGTAATAGAATGGTCTAGATGATACTGTTTAGATCTTAAAGTACTATTTAGAAATGACATACATCTTGTTCACAGGAGTACTTTGGGCCCAAATAGCCACAGAGAAATGGGTTTGTGGGTAGGGGTTTGAGGGGATGGGGCTTTCGATAATTGACTTCAATAAGTTTATATCCAAAGATAAGTTACGCAAACTTGATTTAGGTAAGGTCTGCGCACTGGATTGTACGTTTATACCTACATAAACGCGCAAACGTATTGCTCACAGTTCTTAAATGAATGCTAGTGCTTACCGGACGTTTGTCGCCGCTCACGTGATTGAACGTTCTGTGGCAAAAAACAAACAATGGTGTATTTAATCACATAATCTTTCCTATCAACCATACTTTTCAAATGATTATACAGACATCCCCAGTCTAAACAAACGGCTTGGCACACACGCTAATATTGTGCAATTAACATAATTATTAATGTCCGTATACACACTTAACGATTCAAATTAAGAAAGGATAAGAATAGTTTAAAAAATAACTCTTTTTTATATGAACAAGAGCAGAAACTGTCAGTAGTGAATGGGTCTATGATAAACTTTTGTACATACAGCATGGGAACGACGAGATAGGCTAATGACGTATGTGTTACATATATAATGCAAAGGCCAAGTATATGGTTGGCGACTTGCATGGTTTTGTGGCTAAATTGCGCGAAAATGACACTTTCTGTTACATACCAGTCCATGATTCAAAATAGACATTTCCCCAAATGCCCTCACTTTAGTCACCTACTTCAAACCCGAAAGTGGCATTATACTTATCATACAAACACATATTGCAAAACTTTCCAGAAACCTGGAATCAACTTTGTAAGACACGTCTCAGTGCGAGATGCGCCCTATCACCTGATCCTAATTCAAGGTATAAATACAAGCTGCCAGTCATCTATCAAAACAGATTCTTAAAAAAGTTCCACTCTTTGCCAGTTTACTGTTCAGATTGTTCTAACAGTTTTATCATCATGCCTATTTCTACATGTGTAAAATGCTATTCGAGGAAATATACTCACATTGAAAGCCCTGCCTTCAGTCTGAGCCAAAAGAAGGCTCACTACCAAAGTAAAGCAAATCATGCCTGGTACATACATGTTGCATGTGTTGAATACTGCGAAATGTAGCTGCATTTATACATTTTCACAGAACAAGCACCTGTTGAATGCACCCAAAAAAACATGTTAGACAAAAATGTTTGTCAATAAAACATGACGAAACACTTCAGCATAAAGGCACATTTGCTTGAACATCTGCACCTGGTAGATGGCTCACCTGCTACCTTCAAGCTTAGATATCCACACTGATGGGCAGGTGCCCTGAAATATGGAACATGATTACATGTAGTGTTGACTCAGCTATATCGCTCACCGGCCCATCAATTAGGACGTGGCTAGAATTATATTATTTTTGCTATTTTTTACACCTGTTGTGTATGGTCTTGTTAGAGCAGAATGCGGGAAAATGGTAAGGGGACAAGTAACAGAAATAGTGAAATTCTGTCCACATCCATCACATTATTTTTAGGATTTCGTCTTTCTTAGTTCTTTTGGATCACAAAGATTAAACTTTAATGTTGTTGCTAATTGTGTTTTTAGACCTGAAATGAAACTGCCGCAGCAAGCCCGGGTAGAAATGTGTTCTAACGATTGTGAAACTGGCATTTATCTTTAACAATAAAACTGTTGTCTGGGATTGTAAAGAAAATAATAGTTTGGATGATATTCTTCATCAGAAACGTGGCAGGGTAGAAAGAAGAGAGAGGATCGATCAGTTTATTTGGGGGAGGAAAATCGAAAATCGAAAATCTGGAGTTCAGAGATGAACCCTCGCAATAAAGTCAAAGCCATAAATACTTATGCTGTATCCGTCCTTCCGTGTTCTTTTGTTTATTTATCCAATGTCTATTTGGACGAAACATGAAATTTATGGTAGTGTAACCCTCACACGAAGAATCATGCCAGACAGAAGATCAGACCACCCTCGTTCTTCCCTCAATCGCTAATATTTAGAATGGGATGGCGTTGTTTGCTTGAGGTGGAGGCTCTTCATGACTAGTATTGTATTGTGCACTTTTGCACATATGTATTTGTCTGATGATCCTCTTGTGAAGCATATGAGAAGTCATTCCACAGTTTTCTTAAACGAGCCAAGGAATGGTTGGTTTGTTGTTTGACGCTACACTCAGCAATATTCCAGCTGTATGGCAGCGGTCTGCAAATAGCCGAGTCTGGACCAAACAATCCAGTGATTGATATCATGAGTATCGATCCACGCTATCGGGATCGATGACATGCATCAACCATGTCAGCGAGCCTGACCACCCGATCCCGTCAGTCGCCTTTTACGACAAGCATGGGTTGCTGAAGACCTATTCTACCCCGGATCTTCACGGGTACGAGCCAAGGATGTGGGACATAGTCTCCCTGTGAATGTTGATGTTGTTGATGGTTCTGTACTGCAGGACGCTACAGAAATGATTTGGTTGGTTGTTTGATGTTTAACGCCGCAATATTCCAGATATATGACGGCGGTCTGTCCATCGAGTCTGGACCAGACAATTCAGTGTTTGATATCATGAGCATCGATCCACCCAATTGGGATACGGTGACATGCATCAACCAAGTCAGCAAGCCTGACCACCCGATCCCGTTAGTTGTCTCTTACGACAAGAATGGGTTGCTGAAGACCTATTCTGACCTTGATGTTCATGGATCGCACAGAAATGAGTGTCAACCAAGCGAAGTGCCATATCAAATCGGTCCAGACACAGTTGTTCAAGGAGAGGCTATCTGAACGACCATCGCATCGAGTTTTTGATGAAATGAGAAAATGAGGCAATCCTGCAGAGTCCTTCGCTTGGATTAAGTCGACTGGCCTGAAAAGTGAAAGAGAAAGCTTTCTGTTTGCTGCTCAGGACCAGTCACTTCCCACTAGAAACATTCAATGTGTGATTTTGCATCAAAATGTAAATATGAAATGAAGATTATGTAATGAATTTAATGAGACTGTCCAACACATTGTCAGTGGATGCCCGGCTTTGGCACAAACACAGTATCTTAAACGAAAGGATGGTGTAGCTCGATCATTTTATTACCGTTTTCGCCATGCTTGTGGTTTTGACACAGAGGTCCACCCATGGTACGACCCGGAATATGTAGAGGGCGTCATGGAAAATGATCAATGCAAAATTCTTTGGAATAGGCCAATTTACAGCCTCAGGCGTATCCAGGCCAACACACCTGAGCTTGTCCTTTTTCGATAAATCACATGAAATCATTTATGTCATTAAAATTTCTGTCCCCTTTGACACGAATGGGATTGACAAGATTGAGGAAAAACATGGCAAATATGCGGACCTCGCCTTCGAAATGTCACGCTTGCATCCCAAGTACCAAGTTGTCTGACTCCCCATTGTTCTCGGTGCCTTAGGTTTGCTACTTCCCAATCTGTTGACTGACATTGGGAGACACTGACCCGGGTTTGCTACCAGGAATACAGCCCTTCTAACAATCTGGGTAATGCAGGAGGCTGCAGTGTCGGGGAGTCTTCACATTCTCCGAAAAGTTTTGGGTGGGTTTGACTAGGCAGCGCTTCCCGGGAGAAGTCCCATTCGCTGTCTGGGCTGCGTGTAATAATAATAATAATAATAATAATAATAATAATAAAATATAATAATAATTTATGCATTTGTATAGCGCAGTATTCACTGTGCATAAGTGCTATGTGCGCTAAGGGCCCTGAGCTGATGATGAGCCTTACCAGCCTGACCGTCCCAGTATCACCCAAACCCTCTTTGCTGCTTTTTTTATTTTAATCTGTAAATAATAATAATAATAATGATAATCGATAAATGCAACATTCTTCATCTAAACGTGGCAAGGTAGAAGAGGGAGGATGAGTTAGTTTACTCGGAGGAGGAGTTATTTACCATCTCGTGGAAGATCAGACCCATACGAACTTCGGGATGCAGACTCCCCATTATTCTCGGTCCCTTAGGTTTGCTACCTCCAAATCTGTTGACTGACATTGGGAGAGTACCCGGGTTTGCTACCAGGAATACAACCCTTCTGCCAATCTGGGTAATGCAGAAGGCTGCAGTGTTGGAGAGTCTTCACATTCTCCGAAAGGTTTTTGGTGGGTTTGACCAGGCAGCGCTTCCTGGGAGAAGTCCCATTCACTGTTAGGGCTGTGTGTAGAGGGGGCAAGGGCCCTGAGCTGATGACGAGCCTAACCAGCCTGACTATGCCAGCATCACCCAAACCCTCTTTGCTGCATTTTTAAAAGTTTTCATCTGTACATAATAATAAGGTCGAGTCCTTTTCTAATGATATTGACATGTCCTCGATAAATGCAACAATAATACCGAATGTGTTTGCAATTTCAGGGTATCTGTCAGTGACTTGAAATTTGAATTCAGCATTATTTCAGCCATATTCAGACAAACTTGTATATGATATAATTTCAAAACACAATCAAAGTATGGCAGTCAAATAACCAGTACGTTATCATAGTGTTTATAAATTATAGTAAACTCAGTAAAATAAAAACAAATTATCTTTCCTGTATACTGACATTAGATCCTCAGCAAACTAACACAAAACGTCCACGCCGCACATTATAACTGAGCAGTGTTGAATATCTGCCGAAACATATTTCATATGACCTATGACTAGGTACACTAGTATTTAAAATTATATGAATGGATCACTGAAAATCAGTGATGGAACCGCGTGTTCGCTAAAAGGGTAAGCTTGGCCACCATACAAGGGACGTTCTACACATTGACGCAAATCATGCTTGACTGTGATTCTCTCATCACGAGGGATGCATATCGGAGGATCATCGCCTTTCTACAAATAAAAGTGTATATAACTTGAATGGCCAACACAACATAGCCGTAGAATTACCTCTTCAAATCTGGACTAAAAAACCCAGTAAGTGAAAACAAGGGATGATTTACTTTAATGTAATTTGGTAGTATATATTTACTGTAAATTCTTGGATGGTCTGTGAAAATAGATCACTCGATATCATATCTGCTTCTTAACTAGTAACATACTTGTTGATAAGCTTATACCCTAGCTTTACCAACTGACAGGAGGCTAAATGTTGAAGAATAACACAAGTAGAAATGGCAGATTGTATTCTTGATAAATATGTTTTCGTACAGAGGATTGAAAAATCAGTCTTGCGCTCGATTTGATTGGTATCAGTGTTTAACTATAGTTCAATGATAAATGTATGCAGTGTTGTTTTCGTGTCGGCTCGTCAACCTCTACATACAAGTTGTTGATAGGAGATGAGACAATGTTCCTGACCTTAAATATCTATATAGGAGTGAGTGAGTGAGTATTGTTTTACGCCGCTTTTAGGAATACTCCAGCAACATAACGGCGAGGGACACCAGAAATGGGCTTTACACATTGTGCCCATGTCGGGAATCGAACCCGGGTCTTCGGCGTGATGAGCTGACGCTTTAATCACTAGGCTACCCGACCGCCCCATCTCTATTTAGGAGATAAAGTACTGTGTCTTGAAATTTGAGGTAGCCTAGCGTAGATCAGATTCCTCTTTTTTCAATTTTGAACCAAGTGCTTCATTCTACAATGACGACAAGAGCGCAATAAAAACTGTGCTCTCTTGGAACGTGTACTAACATATGGACCAATACGCCAACTTAGAACGTGCGAAAAGGAGTGACATGTAGTGATAAACATTAAATCATATTACTCAAGTTTTAAGATTATTATTTATATTCTTCCCATTCAAATAATGGCTACAGAATACATGTTTTTTTCAAAATGAATTGCTGAACGAACTAGCATGCAACTTGATGGAATTTGCACTGCTTGGGCTCAATTAAGTCATATCTTGGCTATCAATGTTATATGTAGGAGTGACAGGTTGTCGAAACAGTACCAGTTAGTTTACTCCGTAGTCACAGTAACGACTATCTCTGTGACACTTCGATATGGCTGAACGTAACCTTCTTCCGCTACTCTTCACTGTCCATGACTGCCAAATTAGTTGTTCACGGTCACAGTGCTCTTTATAAATTACATGAACCCAGAGTTCAAGTCGAGTCTGTATTTATTT